CTCCCGGGTACCCGTGTGTACTGAATAAACCTCTTTGCTGTTGCATCCGAACCTTGGTCTCGGTCCTCCTTGGGTGCGGGTCTCCCTGGAGAAGGACACTCATTGAGTGAGGGTCTTTCATCTGGAGGTCCCACCGAGATCGGAGACCCCCGCCCTGGGACCACCGACCCAATTCGGGAGGTAAGTTGGCCAACACATTCTCGTCTTTCTGTCCCGTCTGTGTCAAGTGTCTCTGTTCTGGGCGATTCAGCTGAGTCGATCAGTAACGGGCGGACTTAGGAAGAGCTGACGAGCTCAGATTCCTTCTCCGCCCCCCCCCCCCCCCAGACGTTCCGGGGGAACTTGTAAGGACCCACTCTTGAGCGGGTCCCCCAGTCTGAACCACGGCCCGAGTTGGATTTTTTGGGGCTGCACCCCTGCCAGAGGGATACGTGGAACTGGGAGTAGAGGGAACCGGACCCTCATCAAGACTCCCCTCTGAAGTTTTGTTTTCGGTTTGGCGCAGGAGCTGCGCGGCACGTTGTCTCCTTGTCTGTGTCAGTCTCTCGTTTATTGTCTGTTTGCTGACCATCTTAGTGTTTGAAACAAAGATCATGGGTCAGTCTGTAACCACCCCCTTGAGCATTGGACGTTACAGCATTGGACGGAGGTCCGAGAGACAGCCCACAACAACTCCATGGAAGTCCAAAAGGGCAAATGGCAGACGTTCTGCGCCTCCGAATGGCCAACCTTCAGAGTAGGGTGGCTGCGGGACGGAACTTTTAACTTATCTGTCATCCTACAGGTCAAAGCCAGAGTGATGGACCCCGGTCCACATGGACACCCCAACCAGGTTCCTTATATTGTCACCTGGGAAGCCCTGGTCCGGGAGCCACTACCGTGGATCAAGCCTTTTCTTTCCGTTCCAGCTATCGCCCCCTCTGCCCCCCCCAGTTTCTCTGTATCCCGCACTTGTCTGTACGGGGGATAAAAAGACTCCGGCCCCTCCCAGGGTCCTTCCCCCAGACAATGAGCCTCTCATAGACCTCCTGACGGAAGAACCACCCCCTTACCGGGAGCCGGCGGCTCCCCAGCCGGCGGCCCCCCAGCCAGCGGCTCCCCAGCCGGCGGCCCCCCAGCCAGCGGCCCCCCAGCCGGCGGCTCCCCAGCCGGGACCAGAGGAGGACCCCGAACCGTCCCCCATAGCGGGTCGCCTGAGGGGCAGGAGAGACGGCCCCTCGGGATCCTCCCAAGCGCTGCCTTTGAGAACGGGTAATGATGGAAGGCTCCAGTATTGGCCGTTCTCCGCTTCAGATCTCTATAACTGGAAAAATAACAATCCCTCTTTCTCTAAAGATCCCTCTAGACTTACCAGCCTTATTGAGTCCGTTTTAGTGACACATCAGCCCACCTGGGATGACTGCCAACAGCTCTTGCAGGTCCTCCTCACCACAGAAAAGAGGCAGAGAGTCATCTTGGAGGCCCGCAAGCACGTCCCGGGTGATGATGGGAGGCCCTCGCAGTTGCTCAGCGATATTGATGATGCCTTCCCCTTAGAACGGCCTGAGTGGAATTTTGCTACAGAGGACGGTAGGAACCACCTGCGTCTCTACCGCCAGTTGCTTGTAACAGGTCTCCTTGGGGCAGGTAGACGCCCGACTAATTTGGCTCAGGTTAAGTCAGTGATACAGGGCCCTCAAGAACCTCCTTCCACATTCTTGGAAAGGCTGAAAGAGGCCTATTGGGTCTACACCCCATATGATCCTGAAGACCCGACTCAGGCTACTAACCTGATAATGTCATTCATTTGGCAATCGGCCCCAGATATCAGAAGAAAGCTAGAGAGGCTAGACAACTTGAGAGAGAGTAGTATTCAGGATATATTAAAAGAAGCTGAGAAAGTATTTAATAAGAGAGAGACGCCAGAGGAGAAAGAAGAGAGGCTAAGAAAGGAAGCAGAAGAAAGGGAGACACAGAGAGATAAGAAGCGAAATAGAGAATTTAGCAAGTTGTTGGCCACCGTAGTGACAGGACAGTGGCTGAGTAGACAAGGGCCGGGAGACAAGGAATGCAGGCGCCCCCCTGTGGACCATGATCAATGTGCATACTGCAAAGAAAAGGGCCACTGGATCAAGGATTGCCCTAACAGACCAAGGGGGCCACGCTGGCCCAGGCCTCAGAACACCCTGTTAAATCTAGAAGATTAGGGGAGTCAGGGTCAGGAGCCCCCCCCAACCCAGGATAACCCTTGATGTGGGGTGACAACCGGTTACCTTCCTGGTCGACACGGGGGCCCAACACTCCGTCCTCACCTCCAAACCGGGTCCTTTGACCAATAAGTTGGCATGGGTACAAGGGGCAACCAGAGGGAAAAGATACCGGTGGACAACGGACCGGCATGTACAGCTAGCAACTGGTAAAGTAACCCACTCTTTCCTACACGTCCCCGATTGTCCCTATCCCTTATTGGGACGAGATCTGCTGACAAAATTAAAGGCCCAAATTCATTTTGAGGGCGGGAGTGCCCGTGTCACTGGCCCCCAAGGACAGCCGCTACAGATTTTAACCCTAAGCTTAGAAGAAGAATACCGACTCCATGAATATCAAGTACCTCAGGCTCAAGAGATCACCCCCTGGCTTGAGAAATTTCCCCAGGCTTGGGCAGAGACTGGAGGAATGGGAATGGCAATTCACCAGCCACCCATACTCGTGCATTTGAAAGCTACCGCCACCTTGGTATCTATCAGACAATACCCAATGTCTCAGGAAGCCCAGGAGGGAATTAGACCTCACATACGGCGGCTCTTAGATCAGGGTATCCTGACCCCTTGCCGGTCTCCATGGAACACCCCACTCCTCCCGGTGAGAAAACCTGGAACGGGAGACTACCGACCAGTGCAAGACTTGAGGGAAGTCAACAAGCGGGTAGAAGACATCCACCCAACGGTCCCCAACCCTTATAACCTGTTGACTGGTCTTCCCCCGAGCCACAGTTGGTATACGGTGTTAGACTTGAAAGATGCCTTCTTTTGCCTACGCCTTCATCCCCAGAGCCAGCCCCTCTTTGCATTCGAATGGAGAGATCCTGAATTAGGCATATCGGGGCAGTTAACATGGACCAGACTCCCACAAGGGTTCAAGAACAGTCCCACCCTCTTCGATGAGGCCTTACACCATGATCTGAGAGATTTCAGGACACAACACCCCGCCCTGATTCTGCTTCAATATGTAGATGACCTCCTCTTGGCGGCTGAGACACAAGAGGAATGTAAATCTGGGACTGAAGCCCTCCTAGATACTCTGGGAACACTAGGCTACCGAGCCTCAGCGAAGAAGGCACAGCTTTGCCAACAGCAGGTAACCTACCTGGGGTACCAGATCCGGGATGGGCAGCGATGGCTGACTGAAGCCTGTAAACAAGTCATCCTAGGCATCCCGCCTCCCAAAACTCCAAGACAGCTGAGAGAGTTTCTAGGCACTGCAGGGTTTTGCCGCCTGTGGATCCCAGGATTCGCAGAAATGGCTGCCCCC